AATTAAAGTATGATCTGATTAGTCGACTAATCGAAAAAATAGTCAGTGATTAATCAACTATAAAAATAATAATTTGTGGCAGCTCTAATCAAAAGTACAGACTTCAGGCAATACATACATTTTTAAGTTGTGTTGATAGGCCAAGTAAAACCGGAGTTATGATAAATAATTGCAGAACTTTTTTTAAAATGTTTGTCACATTTGAAGCAGAGAGGAGCAGCGAGCCGACTGACTGGGGAAATCTCCAGACAGTCTGCCTGGTGTCATTAATCCTTAATTAATTATCATTAATCATTATCATTAATTGTCAAATGCCAAAAAATAATCGATTAAAGTTTTTCCGATGATGAAATGCACATACATACATTTTGCCCAACCCTAGACGTACATAAATTCAGTGAAGTTATTTGAAGGAAATCATGGATAAACTACAGTTAAAACCCAGCCAGTATAAAGTATTCCACAGCCAGAGCAAGAATAAAACAGGACAATAAATTGGTGCTTGAATGTAACTTGTATTAAATACTTTTAAAAAACAACTTAAACCAGAGTTACTGCAGTTGTTTTTATCCCTGGAGTCCTGCTGCCCTAAAGGTTTTTGCCTTGGTGACCTCAGCCCAGTRGATGGCCCAAACTCTGAACCCAGATGGTCCTCAGAGTAGTCCTTTTGACTGCCTGAAGACATCACTGGTTGAGGTCARCAGCACCCCACCTTCACTATAAAGCTCTGCTTATGATTTGCCTGCTCAARAATTTCTATCCAAAAGATCACCAAAGTCCTCCCACCTATAAGCCTTTGCCTTACAAACAGCAGGGCTGCAGCTCTCTTTGTCCACCTTTTGCTGTGTTTCACTGCAACACTGAACATTTAGCTTCTTCACAAACTGAAACTTTGTGGAAGCAGATGTCAGATACAGTGATTCCATGAAGAAATGCACAGAAGAATATTATGATTCCTGACCTGTACGGTTTCAGCATCATTTTAATTCTGTGTTGTTTGTTTGTAGGTGACGAGCTGGCGCAGGTTGTGGGTTGTCCGTGGACAATGAGAGACAGTGGTGGGAGCCTGGCCCAGAATCGCTGGCAGGGAGACCTGGGCTTGACTGCTGTGGGGGAGGACAGCACTGGAGGAGGTGGGGACAGTGTTTACATGCATGTCTCATTAGAGACTCATTATATCTRTGTAGTTCATGCGTCTCCACTCTGCACTGAAATCTCAACTTTCTCAAGTCCTAAAATGTACCTGGAAGAGAGAAGGCTCACTGGAGGAGCTGTATGTAAGGTTACATCTTTGCAGATGTCTTCCTTCGTGCTGCACAGCAGGATCACACTGTAAATGGAAATAAATTGTACTTTTTTGTCTTTGCTGGCTTAATAAAATTAAACTCAGATTTTTCTTACTAATTTATATCCATATGTACACAGTTTATGTTCTGTTCCTGTGCACAAAACCCTCCTGTACCTAAAGCTGTATGATTTGCTCCAGACAAAAAAGGGGGTCAGAATAGTAAAATTGAAGGGGGAAAAAATAGCCAAACTTTAAATAATGCAGACTCTACTTTTTTATAAGTGATGTGTTTCTCCACACCTTATTTATTTTATTATTGAAAAACTGATTGTGGGACCTACTTGCAGTTTGTTAGTGGCAAAAAAGACATTAATTTGCTTGGATTTTTACAGTATGTAAAAGTTTTTCTTTTCTTAGATGACTTATACTCTGGTTTTGTTGCACTTTTTGCAGCTTTAAAGAGTAACTTACCCCAAAAT